ATGTGATACGGGCCCCAAACATCGGTGTGCACAATATCAAAAGAATTACTACTTTTATTATTCAAGGAATAAGATGTTCTACAATGTTTGGCAAGCTCACAACTCTCACATCTCAAATTTGACATCTCAACAGACTCAAATAAAGTAGGAAACAAACTCTTCAAAGACTGAAAAGATAAATGACCTAATCGATTATGCCAGAGCATAACCGGACTCACAGACTGAGAGACAAAAGACTTCTTATCCACAGGCTCTTTCCAATGAGAACTCTCCCCAAGAAGATAGATCCCGTTCGTCTCACGGCCAATCCCAATCACCTTCCTCGTCTCCAAGTCCTAAAAAACACATCGGTCAGGGAAAAAGGTTACTGAACAGTTCTGATGTTTTGTAATACTACTGACTGAAAGCAAATTAGTATCAAGTTTAGGAACATGCAAGACTGAGGATAAGGAGATAGTATYARATAACTTGATGTCACCCTTGCCAGAAATGGGAACAAGGGAGCCATCAACAATGGATACTTTATCTCTACCAGAAGATAAGTGATAAGTAGTGAACAGTGATGGCAAGCTAGTCATATGGTAAGATGCACCTGAGTCTATTACCCAATAATGTTCAGTGTTACCTGGAGCTGAAGCATGGTAAGCTGAGGCCCAAGTACCTGAATGAGCAAATGCTGATGTGGTAGGGGCTGATGGTGACTGAGCTGAATTCCCAACCTTCTTTTCCAACTGTATTAGGTCAGCCCGAACAACAACTAAGGTATCTAGGGGCGTGCCTTTTGTGCTCGATGAGGATGTAGAATCGGTATTCATAGCCATATGAGCATTATCCCTTTTATTCCTTAGTTTTGCTGGGACTAAATGAGGGTGCAGCTTCCAACATGTATCTTTCTTATGCTTGGGTTTCTTACAATGTTCACATACTAGATCTTGCTTATCTTCCTTCTTCATGTCCCTTTCTATATCACCCCTAGACGTAGGTTTAACTGCTGCTAGGGCTGGGGGGAAGGGCTGATGCTGCATCATAACCTTTCTTCTAGTCTCTTCACTATGCACTAGGGAGTAGGCTTGAGATAAGGTCACACTATCTCTTGTCAGTATCTGTTGTCTCACAATGTCATAATCAGAATTTGGGCCACCAACCAGAAATTCAAACACCCTATTGGTCTCGACTTGCTTTCTATGGGTCTTTGCATCTTTTGGACTTTTCCACTCAAGAGTCTCCAAATGGTCAATTTCATGCCATAGAGATTTCAAGGTAGAGAAATAAACAGAGACTGATTTCTCTCCTTGTTTGAGGTTATTTACTTCACACTTCAGTTCATAGGCTCTAGCAACATTAAGGGGTTGGGAGTAGGTCTCTTTCATGACATCCCATATCTCCTTGGCTGTCTTTGCCCACAAGTAATTTYGGCTGATATGTGGCTGCATAGAGTTGCACAGCCATGTCATAACCAAGTAGTTCTCCTGAACCCACTTGGTATACATTGGGTCCTCCTTGGAAGGTTCTTTCACATCTCCCAATAGGTAGCTAAGTTTTCCCCTTCCCCCAATAGCCATTATGGCTGATTGGGCCCATTCCAAGTAATTGGATCCATCAAATCTCACAGTTGTAATCTGAAATGCAGTCTTAGACATATTACCAGAACTGCTGTTCCCAAAGACACCTTCCCCCTGATTTTTGAACTCCATTCTTGGTTAAGAATCAGTARTTAAGAACTATTAGGGCTACTGTAATAGAAAACAACAGTTAAATAACTGATCACAGTCATAAATCTGTATGAAATCGTTCAGATCTGATCTGAAACCAATCGGCAGTCAGAATATAATCAGTCTGATAACAGTACTCACCCCCAAAACAGGCTCGGAAGCCGAAACAGGTCTAGCAACCACTTAGAAAACAACCTGTAATGCTGAAGTAGAATTAGGGTTTTAATCGTAGGATTAGGGAAACCTTTGTGAGAACATAAATAGTCAAGTCAAGTCTGGCCGTAGGGTTAATGACAAACCCTAAAAAAACTGATCGCCTCTAGGAAAATAAAGGAGAGTTTGGCCGCTCCTCCCAGATAGGTCCAACTTATCTTGACTGACAACAATCTCAAGGGAAAAATAAAAACTTACCCAGAAAAATCTGATCGCTACCTTCAGTCGTGGCCCGAACCCTAACCTTCTC